AACCATTAAACTTATTATAATTGCTAAATATTTCTGGTTTAGATATCACTATTATTCTCGGTAACAAACAAAGACAACTACCCAAACCGTTTAATAACCGTCCTGGATATGATATGAAGTATGTTATGATATATCTCAACTATTATCATCCTATTTATTATGGTGAAAATCTTGAGAAACTCTTTGATACTGAAAAAAAATATGACAACTTGTCTATAGTAAAACGAGACGAAAAACTTATTCAATGGGCGGTACGAGTTAGAATCGATCTTCAAGATTTATTAAGCGAGAATAAACTTGGTATGTATCATAGATATTGCTTATTTGCTTCTTATCCTGGAGGTAGACTTGTAGGTTATGATGATTACCAAAATTACTACAGACCAAAACCGCTTAAGAATGGGACTGCTATCTGTTTCGGGTGTTGGAAGGTATTTCGTGCTGATGTGGATATAAAGCCTAAAAAAACGTTTGACCATGCTTATAAAAGATTTGCGGAAATGGTTGAACCTAAAGACCTGATGCAGGATCATTGGGATAACTACTGTTCTAGACCTAAAACCGATTTTGGACGTGCAAGGATTATACAACAAGCTTGGAGAAATTTCAAGAAGAGACCTGAATCATTGACATCCAAAGTTTGGAATGCTGTAAAAGCGGATATTATTCCCGATGAAAAGAAATTCTTAGGTGTAACTCCTTGTAAATTGAAAAATCCTGTATCTCTGGATCAATTTAAATTACGTTACTCTAAGGAATTTTCTGAGTTTATAAAAGAATATAACAGATATCCACCTGATATTGAATTTAGAATTAGAACATACGAGGAATATTATATTCCATATGATTGGATAGGTTCCAAGAAAAACCAATTACACGATAGATTGCAAAACTATGTTATAGAATTATTACGTCAACGAGGCTATAGAGTAGTTCATGGAAATTCTTGGTATGTTATGGTAAAATGGATCGAGAATCCAGATTGTTATGCTAACAAGACATATCCGAATATTGTTAGAATATAATATGTTACTACAATTTTATTTATCGCCATTTCTGAGATAATGGTATCTTTTTTTTGTTAAATGCCTCAGTTTACCAAGGTTTGATGGTATATTTTTTCATACAAACTAATTACATACGACAGAGTGGTGAGTAAGACATAACTATATACTATATTCTATATAAAAAAAATGGCGGAAAAAAAAATTTATTATTTGATTAAACTTAGACATCTTTTTTATATGAAATCGAAGAAAAAAAGTTACAATTGCAGAGGATAAAGATAAGTTATTCAAGCTTAGCGGAGTTAGTTTCACTAAAAAATCTCGATCATAATTTATTTTCTTTATTACGCAATTAATGATTTGATCTCTTTTTCCAGATCTAGAGGATTCATCCAACCGACTCTGATAGACATAGGATTGGAAATTGGTACAGTAGTATCGAAGACAATAAATTCACCATTCCGCAAATAATTATTAATGACTCTGGAGGCTTTACGTGGATCTTCCTCTATGTATTGACGAATGACTCGTTGAATGTCATCTTTTGAACCCCCACCATTAAACAACGCAAGATGAGTTGCATTTTCACGAATAATTTTTGGTACTTGAGTGAATTTATGCGAAATATATATTGCGGAAATATTACTATGACGCCCTCTATTAAAAAATGGAATAATACGATCCTGGATTGACTGTGGTTCGGTGCATAAATCCTCGAATATAATCACTGTGCGTCTTTTTGGATTTTTGAATGCTTTTAGATCTGGGATTTTATCAGGGGTAAGTGCAGTAAATGTAACATCTTCATAGTATGATTTTGAACGATCTGCTATTTTCTTATAGAAGTTCCTAACTAATCTATATTTAGGCTCGTTAATGAAATGCCCTACAAGCACAAGATCATTGCAACGTATGTGTCGTTCGCCAATTTGTTTTTTTCCTTCTTTTAGATCATAATACTTATCCCCGAGAAAAAGGTTTAAAATCATATTGGTTTTCCCGGTGTTGGATCTCCCACTCACTACAATATAGAAAGGATATTTTGGACTATCAATGTCATCTAATGATTTTTTTGACGGCTTGATTTCGTCGACGTGGTATATATAATGATATTTCATTCTGATACTAGTTTAACTATATCTTTGAAATTTTTTATTCTTAGCAAAGTGATCGGCGTTATAAATCACAACGCGCACGTGATATTTTTTCTTAATACTAATACTAATATATACATAAGTATTAACATGTCGAATCTTACTGAAGCTCAAATTTACGCAGAAAAACGTGGAGGAAAATGTCACATCCAAACTGGACCCACAACTTTCTTATTCTCGTGCAATAGAAATCACTTATGGGAGAGATCAATCGAAGCTATTACAAAGAGATATGATTGGTGCCCTCTATGCCCATGTTCAAGAGGAGAACGTACATCAAGATATATATTCGAAGATTTGTTAGGTAAAGAATTTCCACCATCCCGACCTAAGTTCTTAGAAGGATTACATCTTGACGGTTATAATAAGGAATTGCAACTGGTGTTCGAATTTAATGGCCAACATCATTACTGTCTCATTCCAAAACATTTTCATCCCAATGGCCAGATCGATCTGGATAATCAAATCAAACGGGATCAAAAAAAGCGGAATCTCTGTAAGGAGCAAGGTATATGCCTTATCGAAATTCCATATGACGTTGATCTTTATAACTTTATCCAAGAATCTCTAATCAATAATGGTTATCTCCAAGACCATTCCAATTGATAATGGTTTCTTCTGAATTAGTCTTGATTGATAATAATATTTCTGGATAAATTCGTCTGGCGGATATTCAAGATTTTCCATATCTACGATTTGCAATTCTTCCATTTTGAATGGTCTACGAGGATTACGTCCCATTAAATGTCTTGTAGATTCAACCGCTTCCTTCTCTAAATAATATAAGACTGGCTGTGGTGGATTTTTTCCAACAACGACTTTTCTGATTCGATAAACACGTAGACTCCAGTATGGATCGGTTGCTCGGCGTGTATGTCCGCCTTCTAGTTCACCAGGTTTTAATAAGTAACGAACAGTAGTCCCTTTTGTATTTGTTCTTCGTCCTCTCCAATTGGTCTCTTTGGTTTTATAGAGGGTTTGGAGATCACTTTTTCCAACGTCATAGCATGGGATGGGGTCATTCCGATTAATCGTGTAGGACTGTTGTTCATATTATCAAAAATTACTTCAAGAATCATATTCCATAATGTAGAACGCTCTCCTGCTGGTAATTTAGATTCTATAGCATATTGAATATCATATATTATTTTCGCCAAACTTCGTTTTAATCTTTTGACCAATGCTAAACTTTTGAAACTGTAAAGGTCAACGACCCAAATAGGTACATTATGACGTTCCATCCCCCGTGAAAAATTTCCAGAGAATTCCCGACCGCCGTCTGCCATTAACAACTTCGGCCATGTGAGAGGATTATTTGGATCATTGTAAATTTCTTCGATAGCATTCCAGACTTCTAAACTATTCTTCGATGTTAGCGAACGTCCATTTTTATAGCGAGTTGCCACGTCTATTACCACTAAAGTATA